CTGTTACAGGCTTTGGCAAAAATTGCAGTATTCTAAGATCCATTGTCCAAAATTCTCTCCAAGCACTGGTAGAAATATAAGCAGGATAAAACTGACCATGAGGTGGTAATAGTGGGAGCCATGTGATAGAAATTTGGGAGTTTATTATATCATCCTCTTTTGTGTATTTTGGATTTTCTATATGAGTTTTTTTTTTTTTTTTTTTGCTCCGAATGCCTTCAGGGAAGGTTTGGCTGGCTTGAGTTGTGGGGATCGAACCACAGCAACCTGAGGCTGACTGCTTTGTTGAAGCAGCCACTTAAAGAGCTGAGCTATGGGGCAGGTCCCCTATATGAGTTTTAAACAAGAGAGAAATAATAGTTATAGTGTAGGATAAGTGGTGGATTCAGGAAGAAATATAGCATCAGTGATATATTTGAGTAAACTCTTAAATAAAAGTCGTGCACACAGAATAAGAGAAACATTGCTGCCAGTGAATGGTTTCACCTTCCTCCTCCTCATGAAGCTGAGGAGCATGATCACCCGAGTGTCTCGGTGTGGCAGGTGAATTTCCAAAGATGTCCACAAGTGTTCCGCGCTGCTCTCAGTGGGACTGTGGCACTCCTCGCAGTGAGTAGTGGGGGCCTTGGCCCCTCCTGCCCACATGAGGGTTTGTGACTGACGGGAGTCATGCTGCTATGGAGGCTGTGTTAGAAGGATAGACGCGGGGCTGGTGAGATGGCTCAGTGGTCTAAAGCACCTACTTAGAACAAGCTTAGCAGACACAGGGACCGCGGTTCAATCCCCCAGCACCACATGCCAGCCAGCCCCGCCCCCTGGTGGGCTGAGCTGGCCACACACACACACACACACACACACAAATAAATAAATATTTTTTTTTTTTTAAAAAAGGATAAACTCGTTCTTCCTGGACTAGCTCCTACGACCCCACATCTCACTGAGCTAGCCTAAGCCCCCCTGTCGTGCTAAATGGAGTACCACAGCTGGTCACACCTGCTTGGGGCCCGCCTGTCAGCCAGAGTCAGCCTCCAGGTAGATGGGGCATGCACAAGCTTTTTGGTGACTGTGCCCACCCCTCTGGTTACCCCTAGCCTCTCAGTCCACACTCCCCGCCCCCACCCCATGCCACAGTGTGGCCACGCCTTTTCTGCTGTCACCCTTCTGAATGCTTATCCATAGACTCTGGTAGCATCCTGAAATGCTCCTTGAGTTATGCCACTGTTGGAATTATTTATTAAATGGACTAGGAACTGAAACACACAACATCTTAGGGAGAAAAGCATGTTATTTCTCAGCAATCACTTTTTCCCTTGCTCAGAAGCTACACGCATACTCAGTGACTGTGTTTTGGTGAAGTTGCACAATCGCCATCAACACGATCGTGTCCAAATCAGGAAGCGTGTAGTGGACCATCCTGTTACCTGAGTTGGAGAGGGGTGGCTGGTAGTCAGGTGCGTCTCATCCTTTCTCTGCTCCTCCCTGTATGTGGCCTTCTCATCCTGCTGGACTTCCAGCTTTTGCGCTGTCCCTTTACACTGACTGGCTGGGGGCAAAGAAGAGAGCAGTGTGCTCTGGAGTCTGGGCGACAGAAAGCACGTCGTGGAGCCTGTGTTGCTGTACACATTACTGCTGCTCCTTCTTGCAGCTTCCATCCCACTGTCTTGACTCCAATAAGAAAAAAAACCTATTTTTCTCAATAATAAAATAAAAGAAAAAAATTGTTCTGAGTAGCCTATACGCAAGGTGTTTGACCCAAGCACCTGTCGACAGCAGCTCTGCATAGATTCCATTTTGTGGGCTCTCTGATGCATTCACAATCATTTGCTTTGTTTTTATTAAATATTTTATGCCTTAAATATTTTATAGTATGCATACCTATATGATAGTAATTGTTCTTTTGCACTTTTGTCATTGATAGCCTGTGTCACCTGTAAGTCTCATAATATTTGAATTTTGCCAGTAGTCCATTCTGTCTTCTCAAAAGCTTCATTTAGGTTCTCAACTCAGTGGGTAATTCTACGAGCTTCTCCTAACTTATATAATAGTTTTACTTTAGAATATGCTTCCTCTGAAATACACCTCCATGAGATGAGTGCACACATTCCTCCAGTGATAAAATTAAGATGCGTGCTGAAAGATTTTGTTACACTAGAAATGTCCCTGTGCATGATCTCCTGCTTGAAGGTCAATACGCTGTCCCTGATAAAACAAGCATTTTGAATGAAAATGTTACCTGCTTGCATTATAACAAAGTGAATGTTAATGTATTATTCATCAAACTGACCTCAACCAATTCCGTAAAAAAGTAGCTAAAATATAATCAGATACTTGTTACAGATAATGCATTATCATGTTAAAATGAAATGCTTAAAATGTCACTTCCGCATCTTCAGACATTCAACTGCTTTATTTGCAAGGATAGATGGGTTTTGCCCAGTATACTATTAATGCTATATTTATGACATGGAATGAGAAATGATATACTCAACAAATAAGATCTATACCAAGAATACTGGTAGATAATTAGAATGAAAGAAGATCATTTCTTATTGTGTTCTTTTGCCTAGTGAGGTCGAGACAGAGCTAAAAGAAAATTTAAGAGTGGAGGAGAAGGTGAGTACAGTCAGTCCTCTCGGTTGGCAGGTACAGAAAATCATGGGCTAGAGCTGGATTTTAATGGACACTTTCAGAGATAGTGTGAGGGGAACGAAAAGATTTATCATTATTTTAAGGCTTTATACCAGCTCCTGAAGAGAGACTCAGGACAAAAAAACCTGAAACGTGTACTGCTTACCTTGTATTCTTAAATTCATAGACTTCACTTTGTAATATTAAAAGTAAATATCATGAAGGATCTGTAAGCACTAGGAATTGCATATTGGTAATGGTACCTAAGTCTGAAGTACTCTCTGCTGGCCCTGCAATTGGAGCTAAAACATTTTCCATGTACTGTTTTGTAAAAATGGTACATCAAGTTTGGTACAGCAGTATAAGCGTTCTGAGCATCGGCGGCAGCAGTAACAGGAGGGAGATGTTACTGAGGAGGTTCTGGCTAATGAGACTCTCATCACTGGTTTTGTTTTCATAGCAAACAGGGGCCTGGGCCTAGGGGCTGAGCTAGTTGCCACTCTTCTTTGGCTGCTGATCCACGATTGTCCCCTTCTCAGATGTACTCATTCTAGCACATTCCTTGTTTCTATTGTGGTGAGAAACTAATGAGTAACAACAATAAAAACCACCACCACCACCACCACCACCACCACCACCACCACCACCTCCACATGACCTGAAACATAACCCCTCAGCAGTTTCAACTGTGTTGCCAACCAGGTGAACCGTGTGCTGCGGCAGGTCTCCGTGTGCAGAAGCACATTCACTGTGAGGTTCTCTATTTGGACAGGACAGAGTCCTACCTCCTCAGTGCATTGTGACTTTACTCTGAGTTGTGCTTATTTTACTGCTACTCTTATACTTCAGCAAAAGGTTTTCAGTGCTGTGTGATTGTGTGAAAGGTGAAATAGACAATTTTAATAATTGACCAGTTAGAGGCACGTAAGGGTGCATCATTAGAGATTGTCCACTTCCTGAATGTTCGCCGGAGACCAATAAAACACTTCCTAAAGCGCATGTGCAGGTCTGAAAAGTATAGTCATTGTTAAGAATAGCAGAAGAGGGGGCTGAGGATATATACCACAAGGGTAGAGCACTTGCCTGGCACGCATGAGGCTTTGGGTTCCAATTCCAGCAGCAGAAAAAAAAAAAAAAACAAGAAAGAATATCACAATGAGGTTATTGGAGAATCCTAGGAAACCTGGTATTTCCAACTTGTATAGTAATAATTGCTGTTTCCTCTCTAGTAGCCCATCGGCCTTCTTACAGCTGAAAACACAGAGAACTTTTTTTTCATGTCTGTGAACCACACTTTGATAAGTACCTTTATTTATACCTATGTTAATTTAGAATTATTCTTCATGTACAAAAAATAGCACTGTGGTCCTCTGGCGCACTAGCACATCTCCTTCCTCATAATTATGTCTAAAGTTTTTTTTTTATGAGCAGAATATATTTATTGAGAGAAAGAAAGCTCCTGTCCCGAGAGAGGGATGGGGGGGGGGCGGTGATCGGGTAGGTCCCCCCCGCATCTAAAGTTTTTTGTAGAACTATTTGGTGCTTTACCACCAAAAATTCACTTCAACCCATTTTTTTCCACTACAAGTAACTAGTTTATCTCTCACCTTTTGTTTTAATTTCAAAAAGATATCACATTCTTTATGAGAGTGTTGTATGAATGATTTTGTCTGTAGATAATTTGGTTCCTTTGCCTGTCCCTCACAATTTTCCGTACATTTGTGACATACATTAAGTGTTTTATTGATCACCTGCATGCTGAGAGCTGGGTTTTTTTTTGTTTTTTTTTTTTAAGGTTTTTATTTTTTTGGTAAATGTTCAGACTTGCCAGTTCATTTGTACCACAAGACAGTGGTGATCTTTAGGCCTGCAAGATAAGACAGAATCTGCTTCACTTTCTAGCTTCTGGAAGGTGCTTTTTATAAGACCTGCATTACCAAATACTGTGAATATAGTTAGATCCTTTAAAACCAGGTCACAACTCCATTGTTACTTAAAAAAAATAAGTCCAACTTGAAAGGCCTGTGGCAAATTCAGTATTCTAGTGATGGTCCAAGTGTATCCCAAAAATTATTTCACTATTAACTGTCAATCTGCTTCAGTTACATTGTGCTTTTCTACAATAAAGTTGTTAGCAGCGTCTAGCCGTGAAGTTTGGGAAACAGTGCGATAGCAAGAGGTCATAGCTCTTAAAAATTTTTTTAGAAGTATTTGAGCTTTTTCCAGAACAGTCTGTTTCTGCCCTCCACTTCCTCTCACAGTGTAGCCCAGTGCTCTCCAGGTCTCCCGGGCCTTCTCACACATCTGCTTGTTTTTCGGGTGTGCGCCGCCGTGTTTGGGAGTCTCATTAACCAGCATCTGTTCTGTTTTAGGAGAAACCCGACGCCAGCCCCACGTCACTTCAGCTGCGGTCCCAGATCGAAGTAAGCACAGTGACTTTCATCGTCTGGTTTTGCTTCTGCCCTTTTCTCTTAAGAGATGCTTTGTGCAACTCAGATGAAGCCCGCTGCCCCGCCTGCCCTGACGGTGCCCATCTGCTCTCTTGCAGGAGTCGCTGGGCTTCTCTAGCGCCGTGTCAACACCTGAAGTGGAAAGAAAGTAAGTCTGTGACCTTATGCCAGGACCTGAGCATCCTGGAAGGTGTCTTTTAAGTCTGAACTGATGGAAGCCAAACGGGCGGTGGTGTGTGTATACACTTGAAATTTGGTGGTGTTTTCCTTAACGTGCAAGTACCTGTGTCCTGGTGGCTGGGAATGTGCTCTGGGGTCCCGTCAGCGATGCCTTGAAGCTTAGGAGGAGAGTTATTTATTTTGCACAGTGCAGTGTGAGGGAGCCCCAAATAGGTAACTGAAAATAAGGAAAAGGACAGGTAAGTCAACCGAGATGGGCTTTTACCTTTTACATTGATTTTTAATATAGGAATGAAGTCATAAAGAAGCAGATGCATCATTCCCAGCTTTAACAGTAAGAAAGCAAAAACAGAAACCAGCCATTGCCCCTTGTTTTCAGTAGGGGTGACCTTAAAGAAATGACCGTGTCAGAAGCTGGTGCAGGACCACCAGCCTTTCCTGTTAAAGGGAGTATTTTTGTTTCTCCGTCCTAACTTGGACCCTATAATTTCTGCTGTCACGGAAGATAATGTTATGCTTTATCTTGTATTTTCAGTATTTCTTTTAGGCAGCTTAAAAAAAAAACCACCACAAAAACAAAACAAATATTTTTATAACTTTTCTCTTCCCTACTTCTTCCATCATAATTATTCTAAATGTTCTATGGGTGAACTTCTGAAGTAATGAAATTTAAAGAAAGGCCACCTCTCTAAGCAGACGCTTCCTTTGGCGTGGAGCCATCTGTGCCGTCTCATGCCAAGAGAGGCGTAGAAGTGGTTCAGGAATGAAGTATTTCTGGAATGAGAAGCACACGTTGGGAGAGAGAGAGAGAGAGAGAGAGAGAGAGAGAGAGAGAGAGAGAGAGAGAATACGCTCTCAAACATCTGGGT